GTCAGGATTATTTATGCTATGCGGTGCTGCTGCTGCTCCATACTTATATACAGGACTGTCTACAGAAAATTAGAATATTGTGATAAAGTTCTTTATTTTCTGTAATGCAATTAAAAAAACAAAAATGTCATACATTCTGGATTCATTACAAATCAACTGAAATATTGCAAGCCTTTTATTATTTTAATATTGCTGATTATGGCATACAGCTTAAGAAAACTCAAATATCCTATCTCTAAATATTAGAATATCATGAAAAAGTATACTAGTAGGGTGTTCAACGAATCACTTGAATCGTCTAATTAACTCGAAACACCTGCAAGGGTTTCCTGAGCCTTGAAAAACACTCAGCTTGGTTCAGTAAACTAAATCACAAGTATGGGGAAGACTGCTGATCTGACTGCTGTCCAGAGGACCGTCATTGACACCCTCCATCAGGAGGGTAAGACACAAAAAGAAATTTCTCAAAGAGCAAGCTGTTCACAGAGTGCAGTTTCAAAGCACATCCACAAAAAGTCTGTTGGAAGGGGGAAATGTGGCAGGAAACGCTGCACAACCAAGAGAGATGACGCAGCCTTAACAGCATTGTGAAGAAGAGTCGCTTCCAGAATTTGGGGGAGCTTCAAAGACAGTGGACTGAAGCTGGAGTCCAGGTATCAAAAGTCACTGTTCACAGACGTGTCCGGGAAATGGGCTACAATAGCCGTATTCCCATGGTCAAGCCACTTACTGAACTCAAGACAACGGAAGAAGGCGTCTGACTTGAGCTAAGGAAAGAAAGCACCGGACAGTTGCACAGTGGTCCAAAGTCCTCTTTCTAGACGAAAGCAAGTTTTGTATTTCATTTGGAAGTCAAGGCGCCAGAGTCTGGAGAAAGGCTGGAGAGGAGCAAAATCCAAGTTGCTTGAAATCCAGTGTGAAGTTCCCACAGTCAGCGATGGTTTGGGGAGCCATGTCAGCTGCTGGTGTTGGTCCACTGTGTTTCATCAAGCCCAGAGTAAATGCAGCTGTGTACCAAGAGATTTTAGAGCACTACATGCTTCCGTCTGCTGAAAAGCTCTATGGAGATGAGGAATTCATTTTCCAGCATGATCTGGCACCTGCCCACAGTGCCAAAACCACCAGTAACTGGTGTACTGACCATGGCATTACTGTCTTCGATTGGCCTGCAAATTCCCCTGACCTGAACCCCATAGAGAATATGTGGGGTATTGTGAAGAAGAAGCTGAAAGACACCAGACCCAACAATGCTAATGAGCTAAAGGCCGCTATTGAAGCATCCTGGGCATCCATAACACCTCAGCAATGCCACAGGCTGATTGCCTCCATGCCACGCCGCATTGATGCAGTAATCCGTGCAAAAGGATTCCCAACCAAGTACTGAGTGCATTAATGGACATTTTCAAATGTTTGATTGTGTTTTGCTGTTATAAATCTTTTTTTTTTACTTGGTCTGAGGAACTATTCTAATTTTTTGAGATAGGATTTTTGAGTTTTCTTAAGCTGTATGCCATAATCAGCAATATTAAAATAATAAAAGGCTTGCAATATTTCAGTTGATTTGTAATGAATCCAGAATGTATGACATTTTTGTTTTTTTAATTGCATTACAGAAAATAAAGAACTTTATCACAATATTCTAATTTTCTGAGACAGTCCTGTACATTGACAGCACTTCTGAAAATCCTATCAACATGAGGCTCCGATGGTGTTGATCTAGCTTCTTTTAATCCAATATCTCCTCTCCTGTCCTTGTTCAGGTTATGAAGCTGGTGAAAGATTTGCGTAACCACCCTGCAGCCGCTCTGATGTCGGAGAACCACCCGCTGGTGATCAGCTCCGATGACCCGGGCATGTTCGGCTCCTCCGGACTCTCTTATGACTTCTATGAAGCTTTTGTGGGCTTTGGTGGGATGAGATCCAATTTAGGCTCCCTCATAGAGCTGTCCATTAACTCTATTAGGTAAAGTTCAGCAGTGATGAGAAGAGATTTACAAATTCAAAATGAACTGACCGCTCATTGACATCTCTCTGTCTGTGTTGCAGGTACAGCTCTTTGACTCCGAAGCAACAGCAGAAAGCCCTGGCTCTGTGGCAGAGAAAATGGGATACGTTTGTGTCTGAAAATGCTTTTTAAACAGACATTTTTATATATAATTTTAGGCATTGACTTGATTCTTCCTTTTTGCAAAGGAATGCCTTGGAGTAAGGGTACATTTAAAGTGGAACAGTGCTTTAAAGCTGAGCGAGTTTGTGGTGGCAAAAATAAGGGACATTAAAGTTAGTTAGGGTTCAGTTTTGTTCTTTTTCACACAAGACAATTTGGGATGTTACAGACGAAAAGGTCTGGGATAAAAGAGGAAATTAAGAAAGACTGAATATGACAGAGCCAGTGACGTCATATGTATCTGCTGTGAAACTGACCTGAGATATGTGATATAACATTTAGGGCAATTACTAGAACTATACATGTCCAATAGCTTCAATCAAACGCTTTTTTAATGTCTTTGCACTTTAATAGTCAGGTTGGCCATGTTTGTAAGAATGCATAGATGGACGTCATTGTTAACTACATGTTGTTTGATGTCTCCATAGTGTGCTTGTGTTTTGTAAGAGTGTAGCCTGTTCAATCCTGAGGGCTTTGATAAACACTGTTTTTAAAAGAGAGTTTAATTTAAACTTGAATGTCATTTTTCAGCGTTTGTAAAAAAAAAAAAGGGATCTTTATGTTAACCATAAAGAACCTCACTGAAAACTAAAAGTATACAATTGATTTATTTCGCTCATTTTTGCAACGCCTAAGCAGCGGTCTGTTAGCGACTATTAGCAACCTTTAAAATGTCCAAATGGACCAATCAAAATTGAGTATTCAGCCAAGCCGTGTAATAAGATCTTTTTTAGCTGTGGATATAAAAAGTGGCATAGCTGATGATATGTTACCCATAAAGAACCTCACTGAAAGCTAAAAGTATACCATTTCTTTCTTTCGCTCATTTTTGCAACGGTAGCCAAGATTCATATAAACTGTTACAATCATCCAATAACATCCAATATCTAAATTCTGACATGATTTAAAGACAACTCTATGTGCTTCAGTTTATTCAGTGTTCTTCTCATGTAGCTTCATCCTCAGCAGCCCCTGTTATGAGTCATCCTTCATCTGCTGCAGGTGTTGAATTTGGAGAAGAAGCTGTCGTCAATGCTTCCTCTTTCTATGTCTGGTTTCCTAAAAACGAAACCAGTTCAGAAACAGAGTGAGACAGTGGTTTATTTGTGTCTAAACACTGTGTGTGTAGAGTGAACACTGACTGTTGCTTGTGTGTCTGGGCCATCAGGACGTTGGCTCTGTCCATATGTTGTCTCTCCTTTCGGTCCAGTCTGGCCTGCTGCCTCTCCAATAAGAGAGCGGTGCGAGCCGAGTCCATGCGCATGCGAGCATGTTGCTCCTCGTCTCGCTTTTTCTCTAGTTCCACACTCTGCAGACAGAACAAGCTTTTAATTTAGAACTTTGATAAAGAGCGTTAGATTTGAGAATATCTCTTCCCTTATTTGACCTTTTTCTCCTCAATCTGATATTTCTGGAACTGGATGATCTGCTGCAGGCTCTCTGGAAGTGCCCTCCTGTGACTGCTGGGGCAGAGGTCAGGCACTAGGGGGCGCTGGAGAGCTACACCCGTCAGCTGCTCCTGCAGGATGTTCATCGTGGCTCCTGCTACATCACCACTGACATGACGTTCCCCATCCTGGCGACGTTTCTCTTCTATCTTTGGATTTAAGAAATCAATGCGATAAAGGTTTTCTCAGTTTTAATTTAAAAACTGGATGCAAAACCATACAACAGCACATTTAAAACAAACAAGTATGTCAGCCCATCAAAAACATGCATGACGTTAACTTTTTAATAAAATGGTAGTTAATTATTAATTAACTTGCCTTAAGGACTCTCCTCTAAAAAACAAAAGCATATTTACACTACATTTAGAATATTGTCACCGCTTCCCCTTGCCTCATACTGCCTTCTCTTACGTGGAACTAAAGCTAATCTATGATCTCTTCAAATCCACCACTCCTTTGACATAAATCTGTCATTTGACTTCCCAGAACACAAACGTTGCTGGCCTACGCCGCTTTGATTGGTGTTTGTGATATTATAATAATAATAACACGTTTTATTTATAATAATACATTATACTTGTATAGAGCTTTGACAGAGAATAAAAAAAACTACAAAATACAAAAAGAGATAAACAAAACAGAAAATAGGGGGGGGGGGGG